GTGTCCCCGTGTGTCCCCGTGTGCCCCCCCTGTCCCCATCCCTGTCCCTGTCCCCGTGTCCCCGTGTGTCCCCCGTGTCCCCATCCCTGTCCCTGTCCCCGTGTGTCCCCCCTGTCCCCATCCCTGTCCCTGTCCCCGTGTGTCCCCGTGTGTCCCCCCTGTCCCCATCCCTGTCCGTGTCCCCGTGTGTCCCCGTGTGTCCCCCCTGTCCCCATCCCTGTCCCTGTCCCCGTGTCCCCGTGTGTCCCCCGTGTCCCCATCCCTGTCCCTGTCCCCGTGTGTCCCCCCTGTCCCCATCCCTGTCCCTGTCCCCGTGTCCCCGTGTCGCGGTCCCGTCTCACCCTTGTACTTCTTGGCGCTGGGGATGCGGGTGAGCTTGGTGTCCACCTCGTCCTCCTCGGAGATCTTGAGCACCTGCGTGCGGTACTGCACCACCTTGGTCAGCAGGTCCGGCCGGCGCGAGATCTCGAAGATGTGCTCGATGTACGACAGGTTGTCTGTGACACGGGGACAGCGCGGGGACAGCGCGGCGACACACACGGGACACACACGGGACACACACGGGACACGTGCTGGGCTCGGGCCACCCGCGCTGCGGCCGCCGCGGCCCAGAGAGGGCGGGGAGGGGACAGGAGGGGACAGGGATGGGGACAGGGGAGGGACAGGAGGGGACAGGAGGGGAAAGGGAGGGGACAGGGATGGGGACAGGGATGGGGACAGGGGAGGGACAGGGATGGGAGGACAGGGATGGGGACAGGAGGGGGACAGGGATGGGGATAGGAGGGGGACAGGGAGGGGACAGTGGGGGACAGGAGAAGGACGGGGAGGGGACAGGAAGGGGACAGGGGAGGGAGAGGGATGGGGACAGGGATGGACAGAGGGGACAGGGATAGGGACAGGAGGGGGACAAGGATGGGGACAGGGAGGGGAGAGGGGAGGGACAGGGATGGACAGAGGGGACAGGAGGGGGACAGGGAGGGGAGAGGGGAGGGATAGGGATGGGGACAGGGAACAGGGATGGAGAGAAGGATAGCAACAGGAGGAGGACAGGGATGGGACAGGAGGGGACAAGGAGAGATGGGATGGGGACAGGGAGGGGACAGGAGGCGGACAGGGATGGGGACAGGGAGGGGACAGAGGGGGACAGGGATGGGGACAGGGAGGGGACAGGAGGGGGACAGGGAGGGGACAGGAGGGGGACAGGATGGGGACAGAGACTGGGACAGGGCTCAGGTGGTGGGGACAGAGACTGGGACAGGGCTCAGGTGGTGGGGACAGTGCTCAGGTGACAGGGACAGGGCTCAGGTGGTGGGGACAGTGCTCAGGTGACAGGGACAGGGCTCAGGGGACCGGGGTGGGCACCAGCCCCGAGCTGAGCAGCCCCGGGGCGCGGGGAGGGGACAGTGCCGGTGGCACGGCGTGGCCCCGGCTCGCACCTCGGTCCAGCTTGCTGTGGCGCTCCAGGAAGGCGAACCAGTGGTGGCCGGTGGCGATGGCGTCCCCCTCGCCGCTGGGGATGTCCTCGCGACACGCAGACTTGAGCTGCTCCAGGTCCTCGGCCGTGATGTTCTGGGCCAGCTCGTCCAGCAGACTGCGGTACTCGGCCATGGCTGGGGACATGGGGACACAGGGACATGGGGGACATGGCTGGGGACACAGGGACATGGGGGACATGGCTGGGGACACGGGGACATCGGGGACATGGGGGACATGGCTGGGGACACAGGGACACAGGGACATGGGGGACATGGCTGTGCTGGGCCAGCTTGTCCAGCAAACTGCGGTACTTGGCCATGGCTGGGGACACAGGGACATCGGGGACATGGGGACATGGCTGGGGACACGGGGACATCGGGGACATGGGGGACATGGCTGGGGACACAGGGACACAGGGACATGGGGGACATGGCTGTGCTGGGCCAGCTTGTCCAGCAAACTGCGGTACTTGGCCATGGCTGGGGACACAGGGACATCGGGGACATGGGGACATGGCTGGGGACACGGGGACATCGGGGACATGGGGGACATGGCTGGGGACACAGGGACACAGGGACATGGGGGACATGGCTGTGCTGGGCCAGCTTGTCCAGCAAACTGCGGTACTTGGCCATGGCTGGGGACACAGGGACATCGGGGACATGGGGACATGGCTGGGGACACGGGGACATCGGGGACATGGGGGACATGGCTGGGGACACAGGGACACAGGGACATGGGGGACATGGCTGTGCTGGGCCAGCTTGTCCAGCAAACTGCGGTACTTGGCCATGGCTGGGGACACAGGGACATCGGGGACATGGGGACATGGCTGGGGACACGGGGACATCGGGGACATGGGGGACATGGCTGGGGACACAGGGACACAGGGACATGGGGGACATGGCTGTGCTGGGCCAGCTTGTCCAGCAAACTGCGGTACTTGGCCATGGCTGGGGAGGTGGGGACACAGGGGCATGGGGGACATGGCTGGGGACACGGGGACATCGGGGACATGGGGGACATGGCTGGGGACACAGGGACACAGGGACATGGGGGACATGGCTGTGCTGGGCCAGCTTGTCCAGCAAACTGCGGTACTTGGCCATGGCTGGGGACACAGGGACATCGGGGACATGGGGGACATGGCTGGGGACACGGGGACACAGGGACACAGGGACATGGCTGTGCTGGGCCAGCTCGTCCAGCAGACTGCGGTACTCGGCCATGGCTGGGGACACGGGGACACGGGGACATGGGGGACATGGCTGGGGACAAGCGTGACACGAAGGACATGAGGGACATCGGGGACACAGGACTGGGATGTGGCTGGGGACAGGGGTGACATGAGGGACATGGGCACAGCTGGGGACAGGGGACACGTGGGACATCGGGGACATGAACATGGGGGACGTGGGACTGAGCCAGGGGTGACATGAGTGACATGGGACACAGCCATGTGTGACATGAGTGCTCCTGCTCTCAGCCACATGTGTCACCGGTGTCCCCAGCCTCGATCCCTGGTGCCATGAGTGTCCCCAGCCTCTGCCACCTGTGTCACAGATGTCCCCAGCCTCAGCCACAGGTGTCACGAGTGTCCCCAGGCTCAGTCTCCAGTGCCAGCCTCAGTCCCTGCTGTCACGAATGTCCCCAGACTCATCCACTGGTGCCACAAGTGTCCCCAAGCTCAGCTCCTCAAGTCACAACTGTCCCCAGCCTCAGTCCCTGGTGGCACAACTGTCCCCAGGCTCATCCATCAGTGTCACCAGTGTCCCCAGCCTCGGTCCCAGTGTCACGACTGTCCCCAGCCCGGTCCCCGCTGTCGCCGCTCGGTCCCGGTGCCAGCCCAGCCCCCGGCCGTGACTCATGTGACGCTCACGGGATGTGACAGTGACAGTGACAGTGACAGGGACCGAGCAGGGACCGGCGGCGGCTGCTCTGTGTCCCCTCCCCAGCGCGGGGGGGCTCGCACAGACCCCCCCAGCAGGGGACAGCCCTGCCAGTGTCACCCCCTGGGCAGGGGGACAGCCCTGCCACTGTCACCCCCTGGGCACAGGGACAGCCCTGCCACTGTCACCCCCCAGCAGGGGACAGCCCTGCCAGTGTCACCCCCTGGGCAGGGGGACAGCCCTGCCAGTGTCACCCCCCTTGTCAGGGGACATTCCTGCCACTGTCACCCCCCGGGCACAGGGACAGCCCTGCCAGTGTCACCCCCTGGGCACAGGGACAGCCCTGCCAGTGTCCCCCCCTGGGCACAGGGACAGCCCTGCCAGTGTCCCCCCCTGGGCAGGGGGACAGCCCTGCCACTGCCACCCCCCTCAGCAGGGGACAGCCCTGCCAGTGTCACCCCCCCGGGCAGGGGGACAGCCCTGCACTGTCACCCCCCGGGCACAGGGACAGCCCTGCCAGTGTCACCCCCTGGGCACAGGGACAGCCCTGCCAGTGTCACCCCCTGGGCAGGGGGACAGCCCTGCCACTGCCACCCCCCTCAGCAGGGGACAGCCCTGCCAGTGTCACCCCCCCGGGCAGGGGGACAGCCCTGCCAGTGTCACCCCC